CTCTTCTGCGGCGCGCTTCCTGACCAGCAGGAATGAACGGCCACGAAATCGAGATTCCTTCCCTTATCACGTCTTTATTCGGAGCCACTCGGTTGAGGAAAATTGGGGGAAGGGAAAAGAGAGAAAAGACAGAGAGAGGGAGAGCAAGGGAGAGAGGAAGAGAGAGAGCAGGGAGCCAGAGAGAGAGATGAGAGAGCGCAGGGACGAGAGAGATTAGAGAGAGTGGAAAACCCAAAGGCAGCTGCTTTTCTAGGGTGAAAGGCTCGAATGCTGATTGGTTGATGCCATTCTGCTAGGGCCCAAGGCCACAGGACAGGTCAGGGAACCAAGTCTCTGAAATGCAAAACAAGGCCCCAAGCACATTGGCCTGCACGGCAGCATCAAAGGATTTGTATACCTCCAGGCTGTAGGACCGCTGGCACTATCTCGCCAAGGCGACATCCTGGCGGCTCCTTACACTCTTCTCTACCTTATGAACCAGGAGGCCACCTCCTCACACTTGCTCTTCCTTACCTTACGAACCAGTCACAATAACCTGCTTACAGTACAGTTCAGTCTTTCAGACTTGACTGTTTATACCAGCATGAAAGGACAGCCAACCTGTGACATACCGAGGCTGATTGCTCTGTTTCCTTAGGTAAAGTAAATTACATTGCTGGTTTGTCCTCCTGTCCTCCTTCCTCTCCTTCAGTAAAGTTTTACTTCCCAGTACTGTAATGTGCAGAATGCGGGCCCTGAGAAAGCCAGTACCGCTCCTTAGAAGTTTATTGTTGTTTTCAAGTTGCAGTGGGACACATCACAGTTTTTAAGACATTTTTACAGACATATATATAATCCTCTGTGTTGTTAGAAAATCAGGCAGTGCACCATGGAAGAAGATTAGTCCACAGGGGTCTGTGTCTTAAGGCTTACCGCTCTTGTCTGGGACAGTTGCATTTTGTTGGGTGAGTTCATCACATGAAGATCAGAAGATAGACAGTGAGGATGTGCTGTTGATGGTGATACATCACATTCCACACTTCATTGTAGTAGACATTTTCGTGCACACAGCGCTTGCTTATATGATTGTTGGCTTTATTACTTGATAATAAACAACATAACCTCTGGGAGGTGATGGGATTTTCCTCTCCTGTCTCTCAGTCAGAGCCAAGGGGAAAAGCCAGCCAGTTCCTAAGCACCTGATTTCCAAGTGACATTAGTAGTCAGGGCAGAGCAGTGAATGTTCTTTATTTCCTTTCCAAGGCTCTGATGGTGGAAGGGTTGCTTATGATTTACCAGTAGCTATTTATATACCTTTACTTACCATTATGTTCTACGCCTTTCATGTGGTGCTCAAAGCATAAAACAAAACCAAGACAAAAACTATGAATCTTGTTATCTAGGCAAGCCTCTCTATCTCTTTTTCCTTTTAGAAAACTGTTTCATGATAAAAGCACAGTAGCGTGTGGGTGGTAAATGAAAGCCATGCTTCCATCTAGAAAACCACTGGCATTTGCATAAACCACCAGACTGTCTGCTAAAGGGAGATCTGCTTTGTCAGTCTCTGGGGACCTTTAACATTAGGCTCCTAATGCTTTTCTAGGTAATGAAAGGTCTAATTGGATGATGGGTACTTTTAAATTCTTCAACAGTTGACAGTTTGTGAAAATCTTAAAAAAGTCAAAATGCCTAGATTGTTACAAACACAGAAAGAAAATGAGAAGCCTTGAAAGATTTTTTCCCCCTCAGTGCTGTGCCGTATATAGCCTGTTTGCCATTTGCCTTTGCTAGTACTGAGCTATATTGAGGGTAAATAATCAAAATATACCAATTGGAATTTTGGAAAGGAGACCTAAAGACATGTCTGTGACATGATAAAAAATAAACATAACTTTGAGAAGACATTTGCAGCAGTAGAAACCACAAATGGCCATTTTTGGTGCATTGAAGTAGACCAGCTGAATGCTTTGAGGACTAGATTATTGGTATTGTGCTTGCTCCAGTCCTGGGAAAATGGGCAGATGTTGAGATTGTTGTTTTCATGTATGTCCTACTGATAGTGAAATGGTAGTCGCTGATGAGGTTCTTTGTTGGTATTTACTATCTCTCAGCTACAAGCATACCTTAATAACCTTTCCATTGCTGAAGCCTGCACATTGCTATAGATGGATTTGTTGTACGTGGTGACTTTTTAGGTATCCAATTTTCAGGTACAAGTAGCTTGAAACAGTGCCTTTAATTTGAAGTTGATACCCGGACTGTTGTTTTCATTTGGTCCTCTAGCATCATGCTTCATGTGGGATTGGAATGTCCGAGGTGATCTCTTGTATTACCATCAGTGCGTGCAAAACCAGAGTGTTCACAGTCAAAGTGATTCTCTACCATCGTCTTCTTCATTATCATGAAGAAGGCTACATTCCCTAAGGTGGACAAACATTTTATTCGTAGAGCAGTCTTGTGAGTTTAATAGAGCTTCATGGCTCTGTAAAACCCGTAGGTTCACATGTGTTTCAGCATACTTTGGGTTAGTAAGGTAGGTGGTACATATAACATGCATTGTACAAATCTCCAGGTGGTCTGGGAAGGCAGTTTTGTTTTGTTTTGAAAATGTGATTAGTCATACTGGGTAGAAAAAATAAGAAGCAGAGATACTCTCATGTTAATTCAGGTCAGGTTTTGTCAGTAAATGAGTTTGAACATCATCTTCAGAAAACACTTTTACTTCCTTAGTATTTAATATCAAAACTGAAGTTTAGGAAACAAGGCTGAGCCATTACAGTGCCCCTTCCAGGAGAAGAGGAAACAGGTCCAGAGATATCAGGTAACTTTCCTAAATTTACATACAAGGACTGTGACTGTGAAGCTGTTTGAAAGAACTGGCTAGATTTCTAATTCCTAATGTGGTGGGATGCCAGGGATCTTATTATGTTAAAAAGCTATTCTTTCATACACACACAAAAATCTATTTGTAGAGAATAGCTTATATTTCCCTGTTTTTGTAAAAATGTCTGTAATCATAAAAATAGAGACAGGTTTAGAAATATATTTGCTATACTTCTGACAGAGTTTGCAGGTGGGATTTGTGGGGTTGGGGCTAATTAACACCTTTAACGCTTTTTACCTTAAACATTCCTGTGTTGTGTTGTAAAGGGTTATGATAGCTGTAGTAGAGGACAAAGATGATCATTTTAAAAGATGGTTTTCTATTATTTTTAATTGTGTGTGTATGTGTATGCATGTGTATTTGTGTATGTGTGCTTGTGTGTATGTGTGTATGCGCGTGTGTGTGCATGTGCATGTGTGTGTGTGCCTGCAGAGGCCCGAAGAGTCATATCCTCCTGGAGCTGGAGTTACAGACAGTTGTGTGCCTCCAGATGTGCTGCTGGGAACTGAACTCTAGTCCTCTGTGAGAGCACCACTATGGAGCTCTCTCCCCACTTCCAGATTTTTATTCTTGTTTCAGAAAAATAAAAAGAAACTTGGTGCTATCATTTCTTACCATATAGTGTAGTGGTCCCTTATCCCCTTTTTATTATTCTGAATGTATTTCTTTGACAGTGTTTCTTCTTTTTCTTCTCCTTAATGTAGATACTCAATTTTCCCAAGGCTTTATAAAATAATATTTTATACAGAATGAATGGAATTCAACCAGATATGATATCATGAATGAAGACTTAAGTTCAAACTGCAAGAATGAAACAGTTGGCGGCATGAAAAAATGAGTTCTGTGAGAAGGGGCCAGTGGTGTTGTGAGTGTGATGTTCAGTTGAATAGAACAAGCACAGTCTTTAGAATGTGATAATTTGTCCACACCCAGACCATGCTGGAGTCTCAGCTCCAGTGTGTCATATTGTGATTTGCTATCAGTTACACACATACAGGTGATGTGGTATCAAATCTTTCCCAGTCCATTGACTGAGGGCTTGAATAGGGTTCCAAGGGCAGGTAAAGTCATTGGCCAAGTTCAGCTGATCTTGTCAAGTCTAGTGACATTTTGACCATTGTACCTGTTCAAATGAGCATCTTTAGCTCAACATTAGGCTACCAGCTCTACACCACACCCCAAGGTCTTACGTATTTGGGATACAAGAATGAGAGGTTGGAGTCTGTCTTTTTGATTGTGAGCATAAAAGCAGACGAAGTAGTATGTATAACTCTTTTTAGAGAATGTACTAAATACACAGTGCACAGTGGCATGAGAAGTCAAAGTCAGTCCTTCCCATGGTAGAGAAGGGTATGTGTGTGTGGGTGGCTCAGAGAACCTCAACTCGGAACTCAGTTTTGGAAAATAAGTGTGTTCCAACAAATAAAATGAGAAGATTAAGATGGCTCAGTGTGACTTTGTTCAGGGATGTCAGGTACTAGAGGGGTTAAAATTATTCTCCTTCACAAGCTCAAGGAGCACTTTGGGGTAGGTTAGGGAGACAGACTTAGGTTATATTTAGGATTTTTAGTAGGACTGCCAATGGTTTCAGTGGAATGTCAGGATTCTAAGACCTGCATGTGCTAAAATACAGATAGGGCCACTTCTTGCTAGCTATAGTACTTCTGTGCTCACAGTAGGTAGAGTGAAGGGTGATTTGTTGTTTTAAGGGCTTGAGTTCAGGAATTGGGCAGGAATGTTTGGCTTTGTGAATTACCTGTGGTTGTGGAAGCTAACACTGAAGCACCTAGAACATACCAGCTCCAACAGTTGTTGCTACTACATGGGGTGGTAGTGGTGATGGTGATGGTGGTCCATAGATGTCCTTCTGAGACTCTTCTCACATTGAAAGACTTTTAGTTTCTAGTTGAATTATGTGACACTATTCTTGTGACTTAAGCATATACTGAGAAAAATGAAATCCAAACCAAGATAGGTAGTTAATTCAATAGTTCAGAGTGTGCTGAAGCTTCCAGCTCTTACACTGGAGTTCACTGCTCTAGCAGTGATTCGCCTGCCTGTTGGAGCCCTGAATTCCTCTCCATAGCGTTGCTGAAGCTGCCTTACTCTCTAGCTTCTATTTGTCTTTGTCTTGTAGAGTGGCCCGTGAATAGGAATGCCTGCCCAAATACCGAGACCAGAGATAATGGATGAAGATCAGTTAATGAAAGAAGTCTTGGATAAGTTTATTAATTGTCCTGAACAAACATATGAAGAATTTCTGAGCACTTTTACTCATCTTTCAAAAGGTAAAATATTGAAGTAAACTTTTTTCATAATGTTTTTATTGATTATTTGGAAATTGTACATCATGAGCCCTGAGAAAGCTCACTGCCTAGTCCTCCCAGGTCTGCCAACCCCTTTACCCTTGTGATGTCCTGCCGTACCCCCTTCCCTCACAAAAAAATAAGAAGAAAAAGTCCAATTTGTGTTGCCCATATACTCACTGGAGCATTGTCAAACTTACAGTGGCCAGCCCTGTAAAGAAAGCTGAGTCCTTCCTCACCTGGAGAGCTACATGAAGTAACATTTTACAGCAACCAATAAATGATTTTTTTAAGTCTGTGCCTTTGGTGTCTTTTCAGAAGACTCATGAGCATTCATTCAACTCCTTAGAGCACATCTTTCCTGCTAGAGACTTAGTGACTGATAGGTATAAACTCCTAAGTGTTTATTTGTTCAAGAATTGTGTGGTAGAGTCAGAGATACTTGATAACTGCAGATGAGCTGAGAAAATTTTAGCTGTTCACTTCATTTTATCTTTTAAGTTGTTAAAAGCACATTTAAAACTAAGATACTCTCTGCGTTTGGGTTGGTGTGATCATTTTCCGGCTACTTGACTTTGATAGGGTAGTTACCAGGATAGGGGTAGTTACCAGGAAGTGGGACCAATCGTGGCAGCTCCCTCGAAGGATGCTAAAGACTAAGGATACGCTGTGCAGAGCTGGTCACAGTGCAGTAGAGTTGTGTTCACTTTAGGTTCTGCTTTCAGTCGTCTTGACTTGCTTTCAACACTGGCCCTTTCTGGGCCATCAGTACACATTTGGGATCTATGTAAGGTCATCATATCTGAACCTCACATTAGACTCCTCTGAGAGGCTTTTGGATCTGTTGTTACAGAGCCCACTCTGCAGCTTAGCTGGGCCCAAGGAGCCACCATTTTGTAAAAGCTCCTCTGGTGACTTAATGTATATCCATAGTTGAGAATAAGGGTTTTCTTATAAACCTGATCTCCTGATTTGAAGTCACGACCTAGGATCTAAACAAATGCAAAAGCAAGGACATTTTAATGAAGAGAAGGAAAAGGAAATCTGACATTTTTGTTTGATTGTTCAAGGTACAGGTTGAACACTTTACCTTCAGACTAAAGCATATAAATCACAAATGAATATCAAGTTTTAACTTGGGCCTTTTCTCCTCCCATTCTCATTTTATACATATTAAAATATTCTTATTAAATAGATATTTATTGAGCTCTACATTTTCTTTGCTCCCCTCCCTGCCTCTCCCTTCCTCTTCAACCCTCTCCCAAGGTCCCCATGCTCCCAATTTACTCAGGAGATCTTGTCTTTTCCTACTTCTCATGTAGATTAGATCTATGTATGTCTCTCTTAGTGTCTTCATTGTTTAAGTTCTCTGGGATTGTGATTTGTGGGCTGTTTTTTTTTCTTTATGTTTAAAAACCACTTATGAGCGAGTACGTGTGATAATTGTCTTTCTGGGTCTGGATTACCTCACTCAAAGTGATGTTTTATAGCTCCATCCAATTGCCTGCAAAATTAAAGATGTCATTATTTTTTTCTGCTGTGTAGTACTCTGTTGTGTAAATGCACCACATTTTCCTTATCCATTCTTTGGTCGAGGGGCATTTAGGTTGTTTCCAGGTTCTGGCTATGACAAACAATGCTGCTATGAACATAGTTGAGCATGACATAATTGGATGTATACCCAAAAGTGGTATTACTGGGTCTTGAGGAAGGTTGTTTTCTAGTTTTCTTAGAAATTGCCACACTAACATCCAAAGGGGCTGTACCAGCTTGCATGCCCGCCAGCCATGCAGAAGTGTTCCCTTTACCCCACAATCTCTCCAGCATAAGTTGTCATCAGTGTTTTTGATCTTGGCCATTCCTACAGATGTAAATAGAATCTCAGAGTTGTTTTGATTTGCCTTTCTCTGATGACTAAGGATGTTGAGCATTTCCTTAAGTGTCTTTCAGCCATTTTAGGTTCCTCTATTGAGAGTTCTCTGTTTAGGTCTGTACTCCATTTTTTTTAATTGAATTATTTGTTCTTTTGATGACCAATTTCTTGAGTTCTTTGTATGTTTTGGAGATCATCCCTCTGTCTGATGTGGGGTTATTGAAGATCTTTTCCCATTCTGTAGGCTGTCGTTTTGTCTTGTTGACCGTGTCCTTTGCTTTACAGAAGCTTTTCAATTTCAAGAGGTCCCATTTATTAATTGTTTCTTTCAGTGTCTGTGCTACCGGGGTTATATTTAGAAAGTGGTCTCCTGTGCGTTCAAGTGTATTTCCAACTTTCTCTTCTGTAAGGTTCAGTGTGGCTGGCTTTATGTTGAGGTCTTCGACCCATTTGTACTTGAGTTTTGTGCATGGTGATAGATATGGATCTATTTTCATTCTTCTATGTGTTGATATCCAGTTATGCCAGCACCATTTGTTAAATATGCTTCCTTTTTTTCCATTTAATATTTTTTGCTTTTCTGTCAAAAATCAGGTGTTTGAAGGTGCCTGGATTAATATCCAGATCTTCGATTTGGTTCCATTGGTCCTCCTGTCTGTTTTTATGCCTGTTTTCAGTACTGTAGCTCTGTAGTAGAGTTTGAAGTCAGGGATTGTTGTGCCTTCAGAAGTTCTTTTATTGTACTGGATTGTTTTGGCTATCCGGGGTATTTTGTTTTTCCATATGAAGTTGAGTACCGTTCTTTCGAGGTTTGTGAAGAATTTTTCTGGATTTTGATTGGGATTGCATTGAATCTATAGATTGCTTTTGGTACGACTGCCATTATTACTATGTTAATTTTACTTCCCCACGAGCATGGGAGATCTTTCCTCTTTCTGGTGTCTTCTTCACTTATTTTTTTCAAATATTTAAAGTTCTTGTCATGCAAGTCTTCCACTTGTTTGGTTAGAGTTACTCCAAGATATTTTATGCTATTTGTGGCTATTGTGAAGGGTGATGTTTCTCTGATTTCTTTCTCAGCTCATTTATCATCTGTGTACAGGAGGGCTACTGATTTTTTTGAGCTAATCTAGTATCCTGCTGAAAAAAGTTCAATATTTGAAGCCCTTTCAGGTTAGGGTTTCCCATACCCTACTGTTTTCTTTTTTCTTTTAAAAAATTGCTGTCAATTTTGACAGTACTGGATTCTCAATATAGTATTGTGTTCTATTTCTCCGATAGCCAAAATAATATCATTATCTGTTTTGTTTATACTTAAACAAAACATGTAGGCTGTGAGTTTTGTTTATACTTGAGGGCAGTGAAGAATTTAGATGTGCTGATTAATTTGGGGACTGCGTGAGTGAACTGTTTCGTTATGATCTGCAGATCATGTCAGAATGACCATTAGTCTGTGAACTTGGGATTATGGCATCTTTTTGTTAATGAACTTGGGTTTAGGAAGTTGCTTGCTTTCTCTGAGCCGAGTGAGTTAGTTCTTGCTTTTTAGACCTAAACAAGGCAGTATGAATGGCTGGCTTGATATGATCCAAATAAAGATAAAACTGGAAGAATTAATGAAGTTTGAATCTGTATTACTTTAGATATTATTTGTGTAGCTGATTTTATTTTTGTATCATGGAATTAAGAAATCTTAGCATTAGCTTCCCCTTTATCTAGTCTGTCTTCAGATTCTGACTTGGCCATTGCATGCCGAGAAAGAAACTGCTTCACATGTGGTGACTTCCTTTTGAGTGCAGCATGGGGCCCCAAACTGAGCTGAAATAAACGACGATGTGAGCCACATAGACTGCAGCTCCAAGCATGCTTGCTGCCTTTTCCTTTCAAAATATCCCTAGGTGCCTGTTCACATTAGAAACTAATGACCTGAAAAATTCCTCTTAAAGCGCAAAGAATTGTATGTACAAAAATATGTCTTAAATCAGTAATTGTCCTCCCCCTCCCCTTGAAACATTTAAATACCTCCTAAAAGACCAAATGGTACTTAGGGACATGGCTCGGAATTGAGTGATAGCCTAGATAGTTGATCCAGGCAGATAGGCTAAGAAATTAGGTTGTTTTCTGAAAGCTTCTGCCTCCCCACCCTGTTTCTAGGCCCTTCATTTGTCTCAGTATGTTTGGTTCTTTTGCATGAATCTTTCTGCTAACATGGTCATCAGGCAGACTTAGGTACATTTCCTCAGTATGTTAAAGTTCTCAAGTCCATTACTATGTCTATTGATTGACTGTTCTATTTATGTTTATAGTAGTTATATGCCAGAATGCTTATGGGATTCATTTTCTTTAGAGGAGTGTTAAGAGGGTCAGTAATCCCATTAAACTTATTTCTCTGGAAAAATTAAACTATAGGCTTTTTGAGAGAAATTCACATTATTGCTTCAGACCCCTGGAAAGCAGCTGGAGACTGTTAATATCGCACATAATTCTCACTACATTACACTGAAGTTGATTATATTTTGGAGAGTTTTTTTTTCTTTTGCAGTTCAAAAAAAAAGATTTTTAAACCATTGGTACATATTTGATTATAAATACAGTGTTCTATCAAAATGTTTAGAGATATTAATTACTAATTTTAAACAAATAGTGTCTTCAGTTCAAGAAGATAAATTAAATTGGAAGATATGTGTTAGAAAATCAGAGTGCGGAATTTTGTTTTTCCCATTGGAAGAGATAGTATATGCTGTCAACATTGTGAATAAAGATAAGTACTAAGTTTCAGTCCTCTGTATCTCTCTCTCTCTTTTTTTTTTTTTTTTCGAGACAGGGTTTCTCTGTAGCTTTGGAGCCTGTCCTGGAGCTAGCTCTTGTAGACCAGGCTGGCCTCGAACTCACAAAGATCCGCCTGCCTCTGCCTCCCGAGTGCTGGGATTAAAGGCGTGCGCCACCACCGCCCGGCCTCTGTATCTCTTAATTTAAGAATTTCCTAGAATATCTAGGTAGAAGAGGCTCCCCCATTTGTCAATTTATATCATTGTAAAGGTTTTGAAAATGTGAATTTTTAAAATAAATATTTATTTGATGATAGTGGGTAGTTGGAACTTTTAAGAGA